TCCTTTTGTTTGGATGAAATGAGTCTCAAAAGTCGACAGACAGAAGATCAGGTGTCTTCATACGCAAAGGATATCCATATTTCCCATGCAACACCAAGCCAGAATGTAAATCTACTAATTTTTGCAGTCTTCGCTTGCCGTTAGCATCTAAACAGAAGTCATTTATCCGCAATTGTAAAGTTGATTGCGGTTTATTTTCTAAACGAATGTTTTGAGTTCGATTCAGTAGAGCATTGTGCTGTTTTGTGTTATTTATTTTTCCACTGTCTAACATTCATGCAATTAAAATTTTGTCGAAATCACGAATAAAGGACAATTTTAATGGTTTAAGATTGGTGTAAATTACGGGGTTTATGCTGTGTCAATTCTGATTTATGTGCTATAGCAATTGTTTTTTATGCGATTCTTACGTTTAAGATGCTTGATTATCGGTTGTCTGTTTTTCCTAAGGCAACGGCACCGGTTCCCACACCCGACCAATCTGCATTGGCTTCTGATGACACGGAGCAAATTTGCGTGAGTCTGGATTATGTTCCCGATCGTGGTCATATGCTGTGGTCACGTTGGGTTCTCATTCTTGCCTGTCTCGCCCAACTCCTCTCTGCGTTCGGCGTCATTGGCTGTCATGCGATGGATTTTTCTGAGGACACGAAGTTGGAAGTGGGAGTATCTCTTGGAATATTGGCTTTTGGGAACATCTTTGGTGCGGTTACTCTTTATCTATTCCTTCATCAATTTGCTGGCTTATAAATACGTGCAGCCATTAATTAGTTGGCACTTACTAGTTACCTCCTTTATTAAAATGGCTGATGTATTTGGAGTGCTCCATTATTGAAGGGGTAAAGAGTAGCCCACTTTTGCATTGACTTAGAAGGAAAAGGTACACTTTCTGCACCTTTTTTGACCTACTTCCTAACTAACACGTGATGAGAGGTGAGATTTTTTTGCTACTGTTCAGAAGGCAAATTTTAATCATGTTTGCAGTCGCTAACTTTACTTGCCACCTCGCCCCCATGAAACCCTCGTCGACTTACATTCAACAGTCTGTTTGTCGTGGGCTTGAATGTGTGCATGTTTGTGTGCAAACAATACAATTTTTTTTTGTTTTTGGTTTTAAAAAGGTTGAGAGATAGCAACTTGGCGCCACTCAAACGTGTGTAGTTTTTAAGCGTCAATTCGTGAATAGATTTCAACTAACTTGTCATTACCGGACTGGAGTGGTTGATGCACATTTTGGTTGTTTGATTTTTTATTTATTTTTACCAAATTGCTGGTCAGATTGTCTGCGTAGCTATGGCGCGTGGGTATTTTGTTTTAGTGAAGAATGTAAATTTGGCCACGTTTTATGCGACACCTGGAATGGAGGGACAGGAGAAGCTTACAAATAAGGAGTTTGCAGAAGTTACAAATTAAACACGAAAAAAAAAAGTTTGACTTACTCATCTGCTGCAATTGTGTTGTTGCCTTTACTCACCAACCTTGATTGACACATGCATTTTTCGTGTGTCTTGAGACAGATTAGCACCAATTGGGTTGAAGTCGTCATCTTTTTTGTTTTGCCACATCGCCTCCCTCCCCCACCGGTCTTAGTGTTTAAGATGGAGTGACACGTTTGCAAGGTTCCAATTGGGGAAGAAATGTAGACATAACGTGTATTCTACCCGTTGATGCCATTGAATGAATTTGTCACTTCAACAAACACCTCCATTACTAGCACACACTTGGTGGACGCAAGTGTGTCTCTCCTCACCCTCCTTTACCCTCCACCTTGTTGAGATAGGAGTGAATTACGAGAAAATGCGTATAATTGGAACAAAGACACGTCTTTCTCTCTCTCTCTCTCTCTCT